TTTTTTTTTTTGCTTGACAGTGAATCTTTCGAGGACTTATTTAGAAACGTGTTTCTTTACATTATTTGCATGATAAAATTAACTTAAAATTAAAAATATATAAAAATGACTAAGACATTATTATAACAAGTATCTATACATCTCATTTATCCTTTTTTTTTTTTTATTGCTTAGCAGTTGTTTATATGATACATGATGCTGCATGTAGCCCTTTATACGTATAAAGATCATGCATCACTCCATTAATAAAAGTCTAAATCGAGCATTCGTTCATTCTCTGTAGTAGCAGTAACAACCTGAATATTTTATGTCAAATGGATCGTTAAAATCGCAAGAAATCAATGGTCAACAAAAAAAGAGCGTTCCTCGTGGAAAATATTGATTTACATCCGATGTAAATAATTCGTGGAACGCGTGAAATCGTTGGATCATGGGAAAACGAATGGGATCAGTAGATTCGACAAAGGGAACGTCTGTAATGCAGGATAATGGTGTACTAAGTTGACAAACTGTTATTTATACCGTTACTAATTAATTAGCAGATTGATTTATCGATCGGTTAGTCGATTCCGTGGAAATGTTTACTGTAATTCCCCTTATATTTTCGTCACAGTTGACCGAAAGAAATTTATTTTATTACCTCGTGGTCGTAAACCGTGAAACTTCTCTGAAATCTCTGCTTCAAGGCGTGTTGACCCGTTCGTTGTTATGGACGAGATAATCTCCGTCAAGTACAACCCCGCTCAGAAATCTCAAATACTTTATTCACACAATCAATGTTTCCCTCGGGGACAATACCCCCGGTATGGTTAGGTTTCGGTTAGGTTTAGGTTTAGGTTTAGGTTTAGGTTTAGGTTTAGGTTTAGGTTTAGGTTTAGGTTAGGTTTAGGTGTTCCCGAGGAGGGGGACAACACCCCCGAGGGATGGTTAGGTTTAGGTTAGGTTTAGGTTTAGCTTTAGCGTTAGGTTTAGGTTAGGTTTAGGTTAGGTTTAGGTTTAGGTTAGGTTTAGGTGTCCCCGAAGAGGGGGACAACATCCCCGAGGGATGGTTAGGTTTAGGTTTAGCTTTAGCTTTAGGTTAGGTTTAGGTTTAGGTTTAGCTTTAGGTTAGGTTTAGATTTAGGTTCAGTTTAGGTTACTAAATATAATAAAGTAGTAAATATAGCAAAATAATAAATATAAATTAGGAATTATATGCAATAAATACGATATATGCAATATAATCAAATACAATAAGTATAAAACATACTTTATAGGCTAAAGATTCTTTACTTAATACATTAAT